AAATAAAATTTTTTTATTAATATAAATTTGAATACTGCCAAGTATATTTAAAAAACTATTTAATACAGTTAACTCTCATTAATATCAACCTATTTAGATTAGATAATTATGTTGATATATGCGAGAGCTGATAACAATAGGATTGTTTTTATAAAGCCTGAGTCTATTTGTTCTTAATAAGAGGTTAATATTAATACAAAGCTGATATTGATATTAATAGGATTGATATTAAAGGGTTAATATTAAGAATTAGCTAGGGCGGCCCCCAAAGTATAGTCACATGATGAATCTTCACCAATCAGAAAATGATAATATGTGATTGTTGGAATATATAAGCAATTTACGATTGTTGGAGTTTAGAAACATATAGCTTCAGTTGCTGTGTTCATCATGTGACTGTACTTTGGGGGCCACTCTGGCTAATTCTTGTTATTAACGAAGATTGACTATAACCTTATAATAAATTGAATATACAATTTCAATTTTACTACGACTTGCATTAAATAAAAAAAATTTTTATACCTGTTCTGATTTCTATGATAGCTCATAAATATTAACATATCGCTTTGCTTTATCATCTAATTCGTCATCAGACAATTCAGGTGAATGAACCTCACTTGTTCCTAAAACTTTTTTGACTTCAGCTAAATCATAAGACATAATATGGGGATCTCTTTTTAAATGAAGATATCTAAATGCTTCTGCACGGCGAGACATTTTCTTTAAAATATTTAGAATAAAATAAAATTATAAATAAACCAAATAAATAATTAAATTAAAAATAAATAAAATCTTTATCTCAGTTTTACGAGTGTTTTTGTGATTTCTCTTATCAAAATGGGTAGACCGAATTTCATCTTTTCGAATTGAATTGAGACTTCTTCTTGACTTTAATTTTTGCTGCAATATATCTAATAGCTCATTTCTATTAGTATTATACCATTTCCCAAAAACTTCAAGAAGAACGGGAAGTGTATTTTTTGCTAGCCGGGGTTTTTGTTCAGCCCATTTAGCATTATAATCGAGATTATATTTATCACCTTTCTCATCTAATAAAAGAAACATTTCTTTCTATAATAGTAAACAATATTAAAAAAAATTTTATAATTAATTATATGTATATATATATATATACTATATGTTTATTAATATGAATAATATACTCGAAGTGATTTTCATCATTCTCTATCATCATCAGCAAATTCAGAAGTAGGTCTTTGCTGTGCAGCTGCTGATGTTTCGCCATCCTCAGATTAGCCCGACTTAAAACTTTTAATGAGCTGATTTCACTAGTTAAGGATTCTACAGAAGATAATAAATCATTAAGAGTATCTTTTACACTCAATATGGTATGTTCTTGCTGTCTTTGAACTGCATGAAGTTCTTCAATTTCGTTCTGCACTTGCTAATTTTCTAGAATTAAAAATATATATTTTTTTAGTCTAAAAAGATGATCTACAACTTTTTTTTTTTTTAAAAAAAAAATTCACAAGTAATAATACCATTTTCCTTGGTTGAACTTAAAGGTAAGAGAGAAGACGTGCTTGAGGGTAAATCAGGTTATCTGGTTGGCAATAAATTAGATGATGAAATTAGAATAGGTGATAATAGTGTGCTTTGAGATCTTTGTGGTCGGGTAGATGTGGTAGTTTGCATAGAAGGGATAGTTGTAGTTTGTCTGAAGTTATTGAATTTTGTTGATGTAGCTGAAGTGGTTGGAGTTGGTTGATTTGTTAATAGTCGTGTTGTCTTTTTTGTAGATCGAAAAGAAATGGATTTTTTTTTTTTTTTTTTTTTTTTTTTTTTTTTTTTTTTTTTATGAAAGGTTCTTCCTATTTATATGTATCACTATTTCATGAATGGCAAATAAAAATTTAATTACTCGATTACCTTAGCACATCGATTAAAGGTCGATGCCTAATTTTATATGCATACTATGTAATTGTTTAATAAACAATTACATTGTATATATCAAATTCCTCAGGTTTTTGTAGCATCTAAAATAGCACTATTTTTTAGCAAAATAGTCATCAACATTGTTTGTGTTAAGATGCGAAATTTGCTACTTTTGCACTAAACTGATTTACGTAAATGAGTAATTATATGCACATTTTAGATGATAACTAGAGAACTCACAGAGATGATGATAAATAAAGAACTAACCGAAAAAAATATGGTCGCATTAAAATTTATATTTACAAATATAAAGCTTTATTTGATGATACTATTGATTTTGTTTTGTATTTATCATTTTTATGTACTAGATATCATTTGGGTAATACTCAAATTGTTATTACTTAAGCTTTACTTTGAATTATTAAATAGTATGTACTTTATCGTTTTTGTTATGTACTAGAATCTTATTTGATGATAATACTCTTGTTATTATGCTTTATTTTAAATTATTAGATTGTATGTTTTCATCAATTTTGTTATATACCATATAGAAGATTATTTGATAATACTCAATTAATTCGGCTAATATACTGAAAATTTGGGTTTAAAAATTAATTTCTTAATGCAAGTCTAGTAATCGATAAATTACATAACCTTATTTTTTATTTTGTCTTTATTCATCAATGACAACATTATCAATAGTTATGCACATAGTTTAATTACATGAAAATATACCATTGTTAGAGATGGGAAAGTTTGGTTTGGTTCGAATTAGCCAGGGCGGCCTCCCAAAGTACTGGTCACATTCAAACACAGCAGCTGCAGCTATATATTTCTAAACTTCAACAATCGTAAATTGCTTATATATTCCAACAATCATATATTATCATTTTCTGATTGGTGAAGATTCATCATGTGACAGTACTTTGGGGGCCGCCCTGGCTAATTCATTTGGTTCGGTTTAAAATTTGATTGATGCATAATATTAGATCGAACCAAACTTCTCTATCCCTAACTATTGTATTATGAAACTGCATGAATAGAACATCATCGTATATGAAACTATATCGTTGTATATGAAACTAAATGAATTTCATTGTATATAAAACTAGTTACATAAAGGTCATAGTATATGAAACTATTAATAAACTATCGATATCTATAATTGTAACTAATTTTTTTAATAAAAAGCCTGATTTTTTTTGAAAAAAAGAAAAAATATTTCAAGTTTTGTTTTAATAATAATAATTTACAATGGCTCGATTACATACTAAATTTACTTACAATGCCATGAAATTGTAGTTTTAAACAAATTTTAGATTCTATTACAGATTCAGAAAGTGTAGATTCTGATATAGCTAAAACTTCTATGTCAACCTAATGAAATACTTGTATTCCTTGTCATTGTTCATCATATGCATGTAATGGTAATCTAGTTTCTCGACGTACAAAATCTCAACATAAATTAGAAGATATGATACAACAGGAAGGAGAAGAAGAAAGTGAATCATTTACAGAACAATCAGGCAGATTAAATTTAAGTAACAATCAAGAAATAGAAGATATTGAGAAAAATATAGAGCCATTATTTTTGCCAAGAAAAAAACGTCGTACTCATGCAAGTATACAATTAAACTTACCAAACGAAGACTCGACAGATGAAGACTTGACAGGTAAAAGTAGTGATGAAGAGTTTGAGGAATTAAATAACAAATTAAATGAGAAATTAGTTAACCAATTTAATAATGAATCAGGTGAAGAATCAGTTGAAGAAGTCGCAGAATTAGATGAAGGATCAGCAGAAGCATCAATGGAAGAATCAGCTGATGAATGGGTTGAACAATCAGCTGAAGAATCAAATAAGCAATCAACTAAAGAAAAAATTTATAGTAATATTAATGAATTTGAGAATTATTCTGCACTGAATATTGATGGCGACAATAATCAGACTGAATTTCAACACAACTTTAATTCACCTTTAGAATATGAATGGATTATACTTTGGTTATTGAAATTTCAAACTAGGTTCAACATATCTAAAACTGCTATCAATACTTTAATTAAATTTATGTGGCTAATCTTAGTTTAAGTAGGTGGTGAGGATCAATTTAGCGACTATCCAAATTCAATTTATAAGGTTCAAAAATATTTTAAAATTAGTAATAACATCACAGTATATGTTCTATATCCAAATTGCAATAAATTGTACAAAAAGGAAGATGTGGTTAACTCACGAAATACTAGAGGGCAACTAAAAATCAAAAGATGTGATCATATCGAATTTCTAAATGTGGTCAGCTCTCGACAAAAAAAAGTATGTAATTCTGCTTTAGTGATTCAAAATAAATATTTAAATAATAAAATCATTAATAGGCCAATTTTATTGTTTCCACTCTCTAGTATTAAAAGCTACTTATTAAAAATGTATAAGCGGCCAGACTTTGAAAAAGCATGTCGTAAGTGGACACGTTGAAATATAACGAATGGCATTATTTCTGATATCTATGATGGTCGAGTTTGGAAGAGTTCGAAGACATGCCATCAAATGGTGATCAATTTTTTACACATGAAATGGCTGATTCACATCTTGGTTTGATGCTAAACTTAGACTGGTTTCAACCTTTTACTAATACACAGTATAGTATTGACGTAATTTATGCAATGATTTGTAATTTGCCAAGAAAAAAAAGATTTAAAGTTGAAAATATTATGATTCTTGGTATTTTACCCAGACCAAATGAGGTTTATTTGCATCATATAAATCATTATCTAGCACCTATAGTTAATGAATTATGTCAACTTTGGGATGGAATACAAATATCAACTTATGAGAATCCTTTATCAAAAAGAATTAGAGCTGCTGTAATTTTATATTTTTGTGATATACCTGTGGGGAGAAAATTATATGGCTATATTTTAGCTTTAGTGGCTTGTCATCATTGTGACAAATGTGCACAGTATAAAAATCGGCGCCATCATTTTGGAGGTATCAACGATATGGATTCATGGTTTATTGAGTGAGATTCTATTAAGTATAGATGTGATGCAAAAAAGTGGAAAGTGTTATATGAAGTTAGGTAGGATGCAACATACAAAACTTACAAAGGTTCGATGGTCTGAGTTACTTCGGCTATCATATTTTAATCCTGTTTGATTTATGGTTGTCGATCCAATGCATTGCCTATTTTTACGTATTGCAAAATGGATTGTAAAATGATTATGGGTTGATAATGGTCGATTAGATACTCACTCTCTTAAGTTGGTTCAAAAAAAAATGTCAGAAGTTCAAGTACCATCTGATATTGGACAAATTTTAAGAAAAGTTGATATTGGTGAAGGGTTTGCTTATTTTACAGCTGACGAATAGAAAAATTTTATTTTAATTTATGCGACACCTTGCTTATAGGACTATCTTTCAGAATCAGACCGGAGAATTCTTTCAAATTTTGTACGAATTTGTACTATTCTTGTTTGTCGAATAACTAACATGGCCACATTAAATGAAGCACATAGTCGACTAGTTCTTCTTGTAAAGCAAATAGAAGAAGAATATGGTGAAGAATATATTACACCAAACCTCCATCTGGCACTTCATATTAGTCAATGTTGCTTTGATTATGGACCACTTTATGCATTCTAGTGTTTTTCTTTTGAATGAATGAATGGTTACTTTGGATCTTTGCCAAATAGCTGCCGCAAGATTGAGCCAGAATTAATGCACCAACTTATACAAGATTTTACAGTTAATAATCTTATTAATCAAAGAAATTCCCCAAAAGAATTTGATTTGTTTCCAAAACAAAAAACGCTTGGAAGTTTAGCTTTACCAGACCAATTCGAAGCTACCGAATTACAAAAATTTCTTCAATTGTCTCGAAATATTGAGTCGAATTATGTTAGCGGCTCAGAAGATTTTCCTGGTAAATTCTTGAAACCTTCAAAGACAAATGTGTTATTATCGAATGAATTTCTAAAAATTTTAGCAAAATATTATTTAGCTGTCTATCCCGACTATTCATTTAAAATACCATTTAAAAAAAGTGATAACGATAAGGAATCAAAAATAATTAACCCATTCGGAGACCAATTTGGTCAGTTACAAATTGGCTCTGAAATATTTGAATCAACTATGTCAATGCGACATGTAAAAAGTTTTTTTATAATGGCGAAATTTATTAATTGGGATAATAGTCAAGTAATACTTATGCAGGACAAATTCAGTTCTTTATTCAACATACGACTAAAATTGGCAATAATAATGTTGAGTATAGGTTAGCATATGTATGTTAGTACAAACTAGTAGTAAATAACTCATTACGATTCTTATTTGGTGTAGATGAGAAAGATGAAAAATTGTATAATATCGAGCTATGGGAAAAATTTTTATCGTATTAGTCGTGATTGTATAATTCCTATTCATCAAATTTTAAACCAATTTGTACCAGCATTTTATAAAGCAGCACAACGAAAAAATTCTAAAGAATATCTTGTTGTTATACCAATTAATAGAAAGGTTCACATATAATAATAATTTTACATGTGTATTTTAAATATGCAATAAATAAATACATTTATATACGTACATATGTATAAAATTTACTTGATATTTATATTGTGAGAGGGAAATTTTGTAAGGTCAAAAATCGAAGTGGTTCGGTCGATCTAGCCAAATTGGTTGGAGTCTGCCAAACCTGCTATAATATCATATCTGCAGATGATATAGTAGAAATATTAAAAATAGCAGATATGGTAGTAACAGCAAAAAAGTTTGTAGTTAATTAGTACAATGTAAAATGTATTTAAATACAATTATTTTGCAGAAAAATAAAGGATAACTCCCTTTGAGTTCTCAACTACGAAATAAATAAGAGTAGTAGTTCTCTAAATGCATATAAAAATACTGTATGTGTTGTAGTCAGTGAATTTTGATAATATGTAAACACTTTAAATTCAAACAACATCCCAATTATTAATAATTTGTTCAGACAATTTTTTTTAGTATTCGTTCATGAGGTTTGTAAACTATTCACTATTGTTATCAATTGCATTTATTAAATTTTTATAATTCACAAAAAAATTATTGTCATTTCAGGATTTATGCAAATATAAGATCTTCACAAAGTTTTAGATAAACCACTGTTAAAGTACTGTTAGTTTTTTTATAATAAATCTACATAAAATTGCTATACTACAGTTAAAGTACTGTTAAAGTACTGTTAAAGTACTGTAAAAGTACTGTTGGCTTTTTTATAATAAATCTGTATAAAATCACTATGCTACTGTTGAAGTACTGTTGAAGTATTGTTGAAGTACTGTTAAGGTACTATTAAAGCACTTTTAAAATATGTTGAATAAGCATTTGAATGAAAGTTTAATAGTGTTGACATTATTGCTACAATGATCTGTAAACAGTTTACCGAAATTTCGAATCGGCTGAAAAATCATTTGGCCAATTTTTATCAGGTGTTCCAGTTAATGGTGGCAGAAAAATGAACTACCCCAGAGCATCTGATTGACAACATTCAAATGCATTCTATTAGATAGATTAAAAAATTTTTAAAACTTCTAGCAAAGGTTTCTTAATAGCTACATAAGCAAATTTAGTAATTTTTTTTTTTTAATTCTATACTTTGTAAAATTAAAATAAAGAAAAATTTTACTAAATTTGCTTATGTAGTTAGGCCGTTCAAAGTTAATTAGTTGTTTAACGTAACCCCCTCCAGGTTAGCTGTTCCCCCAAAATTAAACAAGCCAATCATAATACAGGATATTCAATAATCATATGAACTGTCAAATGAATTGTGTTTTATATATGTTTTATTTTAATTCTACAAAGCTGTAGAATTCAAATAAAAAAATTTCATCAAATTTGACTTGGTGGTTGTCGAGATATCTTTGCTCAAAGGTGAAGAAAAATTTTAGCACAGCTTTATTTTGATAGATGTTTTGAGTTTTTAAAACTTTGAGTAATGATATCTTGACAACCATCTAGCCAAATTTGATGTTTTTTTTGAATTCTACAAAGCTGCAGAATTCAATTAAAAAAAATTCATTGAATTTGACTTGGTGGTTGTTGAGATATCACCACTCAAAGTTTTAAAAAACTCAAAATGTCTTTCAAAATAAAAGCTGCACCAAATTTTTCTTCAACTTTAAGTGAAGATATCTTGACAACCACCAAGCCAAAATCAATAGATTTTTTTTTATTTCAATTCTACAAAGCTGTAGAATTCAAATAAAAAAAGTCATCAAATTGGCTTGGTAATTGTTGAGATATCATCACTCAAAGTTGAAAAAAAATTTAATCTACAGGGGTACATATAACAAAATTGGGGTATAAATATCAGCCGCCTATAATAAAGTTCAAAAATAATCTTCAAATTATTATATATTGCAGTGCTTTTTGAATTATTGTGATCAATAAAATTTCAGAGTGTAGTGTGTGGCACATGAATTTACTGATCGTAGTGATTTGAAAAGTGCTGTAAAATAGATTCAAACTTCGATTTCAGCATTATCCATGATGTTTAATGATTTAACCAGATATTTAACTATAGCTTAAATTATTATTTTTATCATTCCACCTGTGAAGCAGGCAAAAACATCATAAGATAAGGCAGCTATCTAATCAAATAATAATCTGTGACATATAAATTTGTTTAAATTATATGTTTGTTTAAATTTTCCCTCCCCCCTCGCCTGAGCCCAAAATTTTGACGTTAAACAACTAATCAACTTTGAATAGCCTTATTGAGAAACCTTCGCTAGAAGTTAGAAAAATGTCATGATCTCGTGATCACTAACCACTTCCAACCAGATAATTCAAATTACACAAGATACTGTCAGCCATGGAAAATGTGATCCCGGAAGCACGTGGAGGGTGGTGATCGATGTAACACAGCAACGAATTAACGGTTATATTGATCATATGCCTAAAATGGGTTTTCCAGGGTTATAAGTCTTAAAAGTATTATCGGGTCTATAGTAGCTATAGGGGTTATAGGGGTAATAAGAAAGAACAACAGTCAGTAATGGCTTTTAAAGGAATTAAGGGTTTTAATCAGAAAAGGGGATAATATACAGATAATAGCTTTAGTAACGCATATATACTAGAAAGTATATAATAAAGGCTTCAAGCCCAAATAAAAAGGGAGCCATCGTAATACCAATAAATATGTCCTCTAATAAGTATATACTTATCCTAATAAATATACTAACACCTTGATTTACTACTTAAGTGGCATAAGTGGTACAATCGTCATTCATTGTATTTTTTGCTTACATGACAAGCATAAAGTGTAATGTCACTCTGTCCGGTTGATTCTTGACATATTGAGGACTTCTGTGGTTATTGTGTCCAACTCTCCCAATGTACCGTAGATAGTTGTGGTTATCATTTCAGTTCTGGGTTATAGTGAAAAAATGTGATTATTGTTTGTATTAAGGAAGTACCCCCGGGCAAAGTCAGTTATATATTATTACATAATAATATTTAATATTACCTGCAATAGGTATTATTAATTTTACAATAAATTTTATTATTAGTAATACCTTTTCGTTTAATTTCAATTTTGATCATCTGTCTCTGACTTCTATCATGTGATTTATATGTACACGTAATAGATAATTGAATGTAATAATTATTTAATATTACTTAATATTAAATAAGGCATAGGTCATTGTTACTTACAAGATTACTTGCCCATCTCTAATATGAGTGCCGTCAAAGGAAAGCCTGCCATCGGGCTTTCAATTATATTTTGTACTGGACATAATCTAATGAATTGATTAGGGATTTTGTCTGATGTAAATATAATGACAGGTTTTTCCTTGACAATACTCATATAAAAAGAAGTTATGTAAGAAAAATTAGGTAAATATAATGACAGGTTTTCCTTGACAATACTCATGTAAAAAGAAGTTATGTAAGAAAAATTAGGTAGCGTAATTATTTGTTGTATTCATTTGATGCATTGATATAAAGTTCGAATATTAATGTAAATTCTTTTTATTTTTTTTGTTTATAACTTATTTCAAAAAAATGGTTGAATGAACCAACAAACAAATTCAAATGTTAATCGACGAAAGAAAAACAAGAAATACTGAGTACCACAATATAACTTCTCGAAGCTGCATGGATTTTTGGGAGAGTGTTGCGAATAGTATAAATGAACAACATAATACAAAGACAAATTTATGAACCTTGTGAGCAACTATAATGTAAATATATAAATCAGTTTTTTCTATATTATTACTGTAATATATATATAACTAAAATCTTTTTTTTCTCACCTTAATACCAAAAAAATAAAATTTTTTTTTGTTAGGCGGTATGCAATTATATGTCAGGAAACCGTAATAAAAAAAGAAATAGAGCTGGTGAGCGTTATTTCAATCAGTTTTATATTAAATTTTGGGAAAAACCTGGTAAGTTTCTGAAATCTGAAGTTATATATAATTGATTATATCTTTAAACTCATTTATTATTAATTATTATTATTTTTTTTAGTTACACGGTTTGATCAAATCAGAAACACAAATTTAGAAATTCAAAGAAGACGTGAGAGTCGTATAAATCGTACTCCACCTCCTTCATACAAAGAAGTAACCGACATGTTAAACCATCATAATTCTAATAGGGAAAGGGAACGATCTCCAGTACCTAATACTCATAGTAAAAGGAAATGATCTTCAGTACCTAATGT